TAAATAAAATCTACAGATGCAAACAGATGAAATGTAATGAAAAATAAACACTTGATGTTTTCTTTCCACTAGTATGGCATGTTTAGGAGGCAAAATAGCTCAAAATCACAAAATTGACCAGTGCCTGAAAAAAGCAACGGTTTTGCCTGTAGAGTCTTATCTTTAACTGAAAACACAGAATTTTGGAAAAAATTCAATCAAATTTCATAGGCCCTACTTGTCAAGCACCACTAAATACTCCCAAAGAGGATACGTACTCAGAAAGCTGGCTATGGGCCGTCTCGGACATGTTGCGGGGCATGGGGTAATTTCCAGTCTGGATGGAGGCGTCGGGTCCGGCCAGTAGCTTGTAGAGAGCGTTGTCAACCAGCATGAGTGCTGTAGCGGGGGTGTGATAGCCCTGGTTGTTGAAGTAGCCGATGACCTCAGTGTTCTTCCTGGATCGGCCCCTGAAAGTCGCGCCCACCACGCAGTGCTCATTGAAAGCCCCGCCCTCCCTCATGGCATTATATAGCACGTACTCCAACAAATCTGATAGGAAAAACGACAGGTTAGGATGTTGCTGAGGCAGCTTCCGTTTATCTATTCATTCGGTTATTTCTTACCTGTTATATTAGTGGCAGGAATGGCATTCTGGGAAGGCAGCTGTGCGGCATAGATCTCAGCCAGAGCTGTAGCCAGCGGCCCAGCACTGACGTCTACAGCCACGGGTACGTGAGTAGGGCCATATTGTTTTAGCACCAGACGGAGCTGGGGCGTGATTTGGCTTCCAGGGAGGGCGCGGGCCACTACGAGGGCCAACACAGTGAAAATGAGCGGCACCAGAAACTGAGCCACCATCACTTTCCAGTTGCGCCAGCTGTAGAGCGCCCTCTTCAGGAACATAGCATAGAACTGCTGCATATAGAGCCTGGCCTGAGGATAAACACATGCAGAATGTAATGAAGGATAAAAACAAATAATCTATCCAAAAAAAAGTCAAATATAGAATTTATTTCTGTTTCAAATAAATGCTGTTCTTTGGAATTTTCTATTAAAAGAATCCTGAAAAAAATGAATGTATCACGGTTTCCACAAAAATATGAAGCAGCACAACTGTTTTCAACATTGATAATAATCAGAAATGTTTCTTGAGCAGCAAATCAGCATATTAGGATGATCTCTGAAGGATCATGTGACACTGAAGACGAGTAATGATGCTGAAAATTAAGCTTTGATCACAGGAATAAATTACATTTGACAATATATTCAAATAGTAAACAGTTATTTTAATTGTAATAATATTTCACAATATTACTGTTTTTACTGTATTATTTATCAAATGAATGCAGCCTTTAATTTATGCTAATATTAATGCATTTTCCTTTGTTTGTGACATTATTGAAAAGAATATACAACTTTGGAGTGATTATGAGATTAAAAGGAGAGCGAGACAGTGTTGTTATTGGTAATTAAAACTAAAACTATCAAAAATAATTTTTGCCAAATGAAATAACACTGAAATTAAAAATTAAAATTTGATGAAAAAAAAATATATAGTTTTAAGTAAACGAGAATTAGAGATGCCTTGGCAACTAACTGAAATAAGTTGAAGTTGAAGTGACAAAATCACTAAAATGAAATAAAAAAAGAAATAAATGTAAGCTATATAGAAATATAGCTTTAAAAATAATAAAAATGATAAAGCCACAACAAAATTACTAAATATTTAATAATACACTAAATCATTTAATTTACACTTAAATTTTAATGAAAATTGAAAAATTAAATAAAATAGTTAAATACTATTATAGTATAGTAATAGTATTAATAATACAGCTAGGAAAAAAATAAAACTGTGTGGGACCTGGTGGGAAAAATCAGCACACAATATCATTAGAGATTCTTGATTATTTGTGGTCTTGTGCTCAAGTACCTGAGAAAAACCTCCTCCATGGTGGTAACAGACGCCCCGTAGCTGGCGATGCCCAACTCGTCTCGATTCATCTCCAGCTCAGCAAACAGCAGCTCAAACCTGCAGAGAACAGTACAAACTCAAACCTGAACACACATGAAAATCAATACCTGCTCCAACTACTGAGCATGAAAAGAAGTCACTTCTGACAAATCCATCCATGTTTATTCTTTGTCATTTTTAACAGTTCAACAAAAAATCAAAAACAAAACTTATTCTAATGTCACTCAAAACTCGTATGAAGTACAGTGGAGATCAAAATTAGAGAACAATCTATAAATACTTGATTTTTTCTGAAATATTGTTAATCTTCATCGTTTCATCCTCACTTCTTCTTGTCTCTTCCACAGTTCGGTGGCTATAGTGGGTTTCTTTAGTGATAACTTTGTCGCCAAGGATTTTCCAGAGATTTTCAGTTGGGTTTAGATCAGGACTCTGGGCCGGCCATTTCATTATTTCAATGTTTTCCGCTTCAAGGAACTGCTTTACCCGTTCTGCTGTGTGACGGGAGTTTTGCCTTGCATGAAAACTGCAGGCTGATTGTGAGATGCTTGCAGGGAAGGTACTGCATGTTGTTGAACGAGCTTCCAATAAACATTTGCATTAACCCTGCCATGTATCTGTACAGCATAAGAGGCCCAACTCCTGCTGCAGAAAACATCCCCCAAACCATGACACTTCCTCCTCCACCTTTCACTGACTTCTTTACACACTTGAGCTTCAGTCTTTCCTCAGTTTGACACCGTTTCCCATCTGACCCAAATAAATTAAACTTGCTCTCATCACTAAAGTGAACTTTTTACCAGTTCTCCTCTCTCCACACAACATGCTCCTCAGCAAAGGTGAGTCTAGCCTTTTGATTCTTTCTGCTGATTCTTTCTTTCTCCTTGCACTGGCTGCCAGTTGAGGCTCGCATCAAGTTCAAGACATTGATGCTTGCATATAGAACAGCCACAGGTTCAGCACCCACCTACTTCCACTCACTACTATGAATCTACATCCCCTCCAGAAGTCTGAGATCCGCTAGTGAGCGACGCCTCGTGGGGCCATCTCAGAGAGGCTCAAAATCCCTTTCCAGAACATTCTCGTTCACCATTCCTGGCTTAAGAAGGGATGGATGTTTGCTTCAAGTGATAAGCCAGGTAAGGGAAATTATATTATCTTGCTGTATGGGTGTCGTTTTCTTTGTTTTCTGACTAAAAGCCACCAAAAAGCCATTTTAAAGTGGTTAAGCAAATGATAATAATCGGCAGGGATCCCAGACCAATACAATTAGTGTGCCTCCTCTATTTTAAAACCCATGAGCCGCCACTGCTACCTGCAGAAGTCAGATTTCACTGATCACAGGTCGAGAGTAAGAGATGACTGACAAGAAGATGGTGAAGAATTTGTTGCTCAACAGATCCTGAGTTCATTGACAAATATCTTGTGTTGTAAAATGTGCTCCCTTTACACAGAGTACGTATGATTGTGAAATTGAAAGCGAGAGCTTATTCAAAAGCAATTTCAATACCCCACATATTGATAGCGGCTTCCTGATGCACGAAAATTATATACAGTATTAGAATATTTGCTTGTGCAGGTGGGAGTGGACACAAAAATAATGGGAGCGGTCGGGAGTGGGCAGTAATGGTTAGAAATTCAGTGGGAGCGGGATTAAGAAAACAGTCCTGTGTAGGGCTCTACTCTGTACACACTTACAGTTTTTAGGACATTACCATTCAAAGGGTGTACGTACCAATCGCCATATAATGCCCTAAGAAGTTGGCTTCACAGGTGGTTCATTGAGATTCAAAGCCAAAGGTGCCATAGGGCACTGCAATCAACAAAGGGTATGTATGTAGCCATGGTTCCCCGATGGGAACGAGACAGTGCGTTGGAAACACTTTGGTAATGCCTCTGTATGACTGCATCCTAAAGCATGTGTGAACTTAGTCCAATAGAGTGGTGAGACGAGGCGGGGTGACGTAGCAACCAGGAAGCTTAAAAGTGCATCCGGTAGAAACAACGCTAGCTTATGATAGGTCAAATCAAGCACTCACAGGGATGCAGGAGGTATGGCAGGGGGACACAACATCTCGTTCCATTCGGGGAACCATGGTTACATATGTAACCTAGAGATGTTCCCCTTCAGGAACTTGCACTGCATCGGAAACACTTCAGGAACAATTATACCAACTCAGCCATGCCAATGTATAACCTGTCTAGACTCGTCCTGTCTTAGATGTGCCATATGTGCACATCTAAGACAGGAGTATTCTAGAGCCTAGAGAGGTTCCCACATCTAGGTTATAAAACCTAACAAAAGTGAGCGGGGAAGACCAGCCCACAGCCTCATACACATTGTGTAATGACACACCAGAAAAGCAGGCTTTAGATGCCGCCATACCCCTAGACAAGTGGGCCCTGACCCCCAGAGCCGAGGGGAGACCAGAGGACTCGTAAGCCAGGGAGATAGTCTTAACTATCCACCTGGGGGCATATTACAGAAACTTCCTATCTTAGGTCTTAACTTAAGATATGATCTTTTAATTTAGGATTGTTCACAAATTCGTATTACAGAAGCAAATCTTAACTTGATTTAGGATTCTTATCTTATCTTACAAAATCTTATTTTATGTCTAGTTAAGAAATCTTAAACCACCTGATCCGAGCAGAGTTCGATAATCAACTGTCAGGTCTGTTCCTAAGCAACCAAGTATGCGCAAGCGGCTGCTGAGGTAAACATAAAATCAAAATGGAGAAACAACGGCATGCTTTTAACTTGCAGAATGACCGGGAGTTCTCTGTGATGGCTCATGGGCCTCTGTAATGTTGGTCGCAATTCTGCCCTACAAAGGCAAAAAACATTAACTTGCTAGAGTGTGAAACTGAGAAAAATGACTATAAAGTTTTTTACTTGTCCAGCCAAATTAATTATAGGTAGGACACTGTAAATTTAACAATTAGATGTTTTAGTAGTGAAAATTATCTGCATTAAAAAAATTGTGAGCTCAAACTAGATTTTTACCCCTATTTTGAAGTTAACCTCCTGGGGTCGATGGTGGCGCCGGCGCCACCACTTGCAGATTTTAATGATAACAGCGAAAATAACTTTAAATGCTCCTTCATACTTCCTCGTACATATAAGAGTAATACAGCATTTAAATCTGTAAAGGGTCTACTTTTATTTGTGTACACTTACAATATCAAGAAAACATTGTGCTTTTGCAAAATAAAGAAAATAAACAGGGTGTGCTCTGCCTTTGCATTGTCTGCAAAACGTGAGAAGTCACACCAAGGCAAAAGTCAGTAACTTCCACATTATCAATATTTGGTTGCTGATCACCATTTACAAAATCGTTATAGTAATACCTGTATAAAATCTAATGATCATGGGCTATCTCATATGGGCTATTGCATATGGTAATGTGATTGTATTAATTTTTTTTTTTTTTACCGTAACAATCAGACTAAAAGTTAAACATGTGAGTGGATACCAATTTATTTGCTATGCTTATTAACGTAAAAGAATGCTAGACATTTTGCTATGCAATTATTGCAATTAATAACTCAATTTGAGCGTTCCAAACAAAGTGAAAGAGCCGTAACTGGTGTTATACGGTGTTCTGCCTTGGTTTCTCCGGGGCTTTTTGAAGTTACGTTTGAGACGACCCATTATTTTCTTGAAAAAACAACGAAATTGACTCAAGATACTTATGCACGTGATAAAGGATGTCTTGAATGTCCCAAAAATATAAATTACAAATTTTCGACAAAAATCGAAGTGTAGTGGTTTTTTAGTCCTAACTTTGTCGCCAATGATTTTCTAAAGTTTAGTCAGGACTCTGGGCCGTCCATTTCATTATTTCAATGTTTTCAGCTGCTGTACCTATTTTGCAGTGTGACAGGAGCATTTTCTTGAATTTGCATTCACCTGCCATGTAGCTGTACAAGAGGCCCAACTCCTGCTGCAGAAAACATTCCTCAAACCATGACACTTCCCCCTCCATCTTTCACTGACTTCTTTATGCACTCGGGCTTCAATCTTTCCTCAGTTTGACACCAAACATAATGTTTCCCATCTGACCCAAATAAATTAAACTTGCTCTCATCACTAAAGTGAACTTTTTACCTTTTTAGTTCTCCTCTCTTCACACAATATGCTCCTCAGCAAAGGGGAGTCTAGCCTTTTGATTCTTTCTGCTGATGAGAGGCTTGGTCGCTGCAAACTGCGGTTTCAGTCCGACTTCTCTTAAACGCATCCTTATCCTGTTCAGTGTTCAACTGGTGAGCAATTCCAGCTGCAGTGCTGAACCGATTCCCCATTGAGATTCTCAGCATTGTCCTGTCTTCTCGTGCATTTGTCTTATGTAGACGACCAGCCTTTTTGGGGGACTTGAATTAATTGGTGTCATTGTAAAGCTGCAATATTTGAGAAATCTCAGCTTTGGAACGACCAGCTTCTCTTGCAGTTGAAAATGTCACTCTCTTTGGCCTTCATCTGGACCGCCTCCTGTCACAGGCTTTCAGTCACCTTAGAGCGGCCCGCCGTCTTGCAATCTCAGTGAAAATTAGAGGAATGTTTCCAGTTAATTAGGGGTTGTCATATAATTAATGAAATTAGCACCAGGTGCCTGATTAACGCCAATAACTTGGAGGCATCTGTAAGTGTTCTCTAATTTTGATCAGAGTTCTTTTTCAAATATCTTATTTAAGTTTTTTATACTGTGCTTCAGAATACAATTAATTTATGAAATATGCTTAAAAAAACTGTCCCTCTACTCCTGTTAGGATAACTTCAAATAGGATTAAGCAGTGACCTTGAAATTTAGGAAATTGTAGGTTGTTCTCTCATTTGGATCTCCACTGTGTATTATTAATAAGCTATATTAAAAGTCTGTGATAGTATTGTAAAATAGTTGATAGTGTTGTAAACCTTTTTTATGATATGTTTGTGGTACATTTTGTCCTTTTTTTGGAGCTTGAAACTTTATAAAACACTTTTAAATTAAATTTTTGTATCAATGAGATACTATTATAGTTTTTGTTAATATTTTTAAATAAAATTAGCTTACATTTTTATTATATGTGTTTTATTACATATATTTGATATATTATATATATTTTATTTCAGTTAATGTTTATTTCAGCAAATTTTTATATAGTTTTTGTTCTAGTAAACAAAACCCTAATTCCATTCAAATATTTTGTAAACTTTGTGGAACATATGCATAATTAAAAATAATATGATTTTACTTTTGAGATGAACCATTTCTTTTAAGAATGCTTTTAGGATGTTTGTCTCTCACTGACGGTGGTTTAGAGTCGGGGACGAGAAACACACATGTCTGATGAACAGAGCAGACTGTTGTTTCGAGACCTTCACTAAAAAACAGCTCAATGGGTAAATTTAGTCCATCTGTTGCTACGCCAGCTAACAAGAACCAAGACTAAAGTCTCATGCGTTTCATTACTCTGGATACATCAAACCATTTTTTCATAACTCATTGTCTCTTGTAAGAGTTTGTTCAATCAAGGATTTTGATTAAAGGCAATGACGATGATACCTTGATGTTTGCATTCCTGTTAACCACGTCTAATATGTAACCTCTTCAAATCAGATGTTTTTGTAGTATGCGGCACAGTTCACAGTATACAAACACCTATATGCACTGAATAACTACTTTTGCCAAAATGCGTTGCATACAACCAGAGTACATTGCTTGAAATATATCACATCCCACAATGCAATGTACCGGATTTGACTCATTATTCAATCAGACTCAAAACTGGGTTAAAAATGGAAAATGTCTCTTTATGTCTGAAATAATAACAATACGCCACTCGCTGCATTAAACATGCAACATAATCAGGTAAAGCGATAATGTTACTTACAACTGTCTGAAATGCATCACATAACACATATGGTTTCACTATTTTAAAAATACTATGCAGTATTCAGTAGACATGTATAGTTAGTGTTGTCTTACCGGCTGGTGCTCTCTTTGGGCAGTATGTACGAGAGTTCAGCGCCTGCACTGCTCTCTAGAGTGGCGTCGGGAACATACATGTGCACTAGACGGGTGATCTCTGACACATTACAAAACGCATCTTTTACTATAACCATGTGGTAACCAGCACCTGTAAAAATACAAGATTAAATTAGATCAACATTTTTTTAGTGAGATATGTCCTTACTGGAGCAAAACACTACTTTTAGCACTCTTTACTACTTTTTTATTGCTATCATAAATTCTGCAAAAAAAAATTTATAATATAATAGAAGACCAAATTTATATATAATATAATATCAATTTTATGTATATGTATATGCATGTGTGTGTGTGTGTGTGTGCCGTGTTTAACAGTGAAATTCCTGGTGATAAACAACATTACCCATGATTCTGCAGAGAAATCTCCACCAATAAGAGAACCGCAACAAGCAAATCACACCAAAAAACTCTGTGTATACTTGCCTTACAGACATGAAAAGTATATCTATTGAGAGTGAAATGTCTACTTTCAAATTAAACAATTCAAATGTGAAAAAAACGAATATTCTCAGATTATGTAATCCGTATGAAACTTGCTTGCAGGCGCATCCACTACTGTGGAGATGACGAGTCAGTGTCGCCGAATTCATCTCTTAAGCCAAAATCACAGAAAATACAAGTTTATCAATAGATTATTAAAATGTTAATGCAGTTTAATCGGACTGTTTTTCCCTGACACATTCATCATCATTACTTCTGCTGGTGCGCTATGGCAAGCTTTACGTGTGCATTTGAGCACTTATTAGGCTATGTAGGCAATTAAAGGCTCATTAGCATGATCTAAATGGTTTATTAATAAACATGCGATTAGTCGACTAATGCTTAAAATGAACGAGTACTAGTCGACCAGAAAAATCTTTAGTCGAGGGCAGTCCTAGATGGCAGAGAGAATAGAGACTCCGGCAGCATTTTCAGTGAGTTATTCATTCCAGTGTGTGTCACTTTAAAACTCTGCCGAGCTCTGTCATATTCTGTGATTGTTTCTGAAGAGTGTGAGAGCTCACTCACACGTTGCGCTGTGTGAAATTCAGACTGAACAGAATGTTAAAACATCACACCGCATGATAAGCAAACTACGTTGCTCAGCTGGATAAAGATTTTGATGGATGAGGATTGCAATCAAGGTAAAGACGATTGCGGTGACAGGAGTCGTACAGCAAAAGCACGCGTGAGTCTGATATATTGATGCACAAACAAACCGTGTATGTGCGCTCTTGACGCACAGATCATACATTGTATTTATGCACAGACAATTTTCAGTACATCCACGTTGTTTCCACACATTCAGGATAATGTGTTTGACTGTTAATAGGGTTTTGGGGACCAGACATGACTTGCCGTTAACAGGTTTTGGGTATTGGATAATTTAGCTGACTAGTTGTTCTGTTACCAGACAAAACTGATATTTTCTGACAGGATCTGGAGTCCAGGGCTGGATCTGATATTTCTGATGTGGAAGCATGATCTAACAATATATAGAAGCACTGCAAATGACATAGTCAAATCTAATATACATATTAGCATAATGCCGCCCAAATGTGCACGCAAAGAAAGAAGGCGTGGTTTCAGTAACTGCAGTTAGTGTTGAAGCAGCCATGTCAGGGAGACGCTGTGTGTTTCTAGGCGAAAGCAAAAGCACTTTATTTGGCCTTCCGAAAGTAGATGGAT